GAATCTCAGTTTTCGGATGATTTGGTGGAGTTTGAGGTGGTTTGGATTGAAAATTCGAAGTGGTTGAAGAACATGAAAAAAATAATATGTGTATCGCACTGTGTATCATTTGTGTATCACATATGTATCAAACATATATTTGTATATTTGTATCAAATGTATATCACACACACACATACGTGATACAAAGATTTTTTTTTAACTTGATTTTAACTACAAATTTTGATATCAAATCAGTCCAAATCACCTCCACTCATCCTCAAATTTTGTATATTGACTTATCTATATGTTTTCAATCAACTTCAACCATACCCATTGAAAAAAAAAATTATTTTTTGCTTAGATTTTTGGAATCTTGTATATATATATATATATATATATATATATATATATATATATTTGTATTGCATCACCTTATTTTTTACCTTATTCATGAAATTTTGTTTTCGTCTTGTATCTAATGTTGCTAATCACACTTAAAAATATGGAAGGAGATTTTTGCGAGTGATTCTTGGAGAGAAAAAACCTTATTTATTTGAATTATCAATTTTTATGTGTTTGGCTAGTTTTGGTAAGTCTATGATTAATGAAGGTTGGTAAGTTGAGACATTTTTATAAGATTCCAAAAAAAAAATGAAAATTTTACCTCCTATAGCAAAGCATACACCCTATTTATTATAAACCAAAATTATTTTAAAATATTATTTTCTATAACTGCCTTTTATATTTTATAGCAAAATAAGTATTTATGGTATATACTACCATTGAGGCATGAAATACGCTATTTATGTTTTTCCTCTCTCTTAGACAGCTGGACATACCTATTTTTAAGGTGAATGTCCTTACTGTATCATGAATACATGGTGCGAATACATGTGAATACATGTGCGTATAGCTGGACTACTGTGGTTTTAGGCGCTTTTTATTGTTGTATTCGTGAATATAGCAGCGCGAATACATGTGAATACATGCCCGTACAGCTGGACTGCCCTGATTTTAGGCGTTTTTTTCCTGCTGTATTCATGAATACATGGCACGAATAAATATGAACACATGCACGTACAATTGGACTACCCTGATTTTTAGGCATTTTTTGTTGTTGTATTCATGAATACAACGAATACACTATTGTAACAACTGAATAGTAGCTATGAGAAGTAATTATCTATATGATATCTATAAAAAGTTAGTAATCACTAAACAATAATGATTTATGAAAATTCTTCAAAAATTTTTTGGAATTTTTACCTCCTATAGGCTATAGCAAAGGTTAACACCTTATTTATTTCAAATAAATACCATTTAAAAATTATATTTTATAGATACCTTTTAATGTTTATAACAAAATATTTAATTTTGGTTACCTCGTATCCCTAAGCCACTAAATACACTATTCAGTTACACTATTTTCTTTCTCTCTCTACTTTGATATATGTCATTCTCTTCCCCCATTCCCTGAAAACATGATGCTCAATCTCAAAATTCCTCGCACCCACATCACTTACGTTCTCTCCGATCCCAATTTCTCGAATCCCATCGGACATTGCTTTGGCTCTTCTTCACCATTGTAATTGATTCACTTTTCATAATGCCTCCTCATTTAACTATTTTGAAGTTTACAATCGGACAAGTCTGGCCTCTTGCCAGATTACTCTTGGTCAAGATTATGCTGCCAATCAAGGTCCAGCTTCAAGTGCGAATCCCAATTACCAATGAATTGGAATGACAGACGAATGCCTTGATCTTCATATTGACGAATAAACTGAAGTGAAGCCATGTCATTTAGAAAGTTATAATTCTTTGGAAATCATAAAGCTTGATAGTATATGATGTATGTTGTACGTAAGAAGAGCAATATTCAACGAATGACTTTTTACATCTCTTTAATAAAGTCCTTATTCTGCCACCATTTCTCGACGACAGATTCGCCGGAAATTAGGGTTTGTTCTTGAACAAAGACGACGGAGTTTGGGGCTGAGCAACATGAATTTTCTGTTAATATATTTCAATGTATCTCGCTGTATTTTCATGTATTTCATTGTATTTATTGTCTTTTTTTCGTTGTATTTCAATGTATCTCGTTGTATTCCATGTATTTTATTGTATTCACTGTCTCGTTGTATTCCATGAATGTATTCATATATTTTTCTAATTAATACGTATAATTTATGTGTTTAGATGTATTATATAATTTCTCTGAAGATTGCTATGTTTTTGGGGTGTTTTTCGGTTAATTTTTTTTATAACTGAAAATACAAAATTTGTGTGTTATAATTAAGTTTGTTGAGTTATATTAAGAGTCTATTATGTTAATTGATTCACTTTCCATTTAAAAACAGTATAATCCCCTGTTTCACGTCGTGAATACAGTCGAATACAATAATCTGTCCAGCTATAATTCCATGTTTCATGCCATGAATATAGTCAAATACACTCGAATATAACAACTGATTAAATTTGTTGAGTTATATTAGGAGTCTATTATGTTAATTACCACTAAAAGATATTGTTTTATGAAATTCACTAGGTTTCTGATTTGGGCTCTCTACTTCATGGGCCAAATCCTGAAACCATCCATACGTAGATTGGGCTTAGGATGGCAACGGCTAGTTAACAAGAGATCCGAAACCAACGGCGTTAAGCGACAAACGGTAATTCCGATCGTCAATCTTCCCCGTCAACGAAATTCAAATCTATAAAAAAAACACTTTCCGTTTCACAACGGCTACTATCTGACATTCCTCATCTTTAACAACACAAAAAAGCCGATCAATTCAATTTCTTCAACCTCCAACTTAAACCCAATTTCTCTTTTTCTGTTGAATGGAATACAACCCAAAATCTCACTTTCAGGTATTTACCTAATTTCTTCATTCTTTTTAATTTCTTGATTAGTGCAACAAAAAGCTTTGATCTTGTTCTGTTTAAGTTCTTGCTGATTTTTTAATTTGTGGGTATTCATAAATTCACTGGATTTTAGCTTTTTTTTTTTTTTTTTTGGTTTCTTTCTCTTGATTCTGTAAATAGGTGGTTGATTAGACAAAAATTACAGCTTTTGATTTTTGTGGAAGTGGCTGAATAAGATAGTAATATTGTATAAATGTATGTATAATGTTGGAAATGAGGTTAAAGGTTTTATTTTTTATTTTTTAACTTTGTCTGTAATTGTATAACCTGGAACTTTCTGAACTTCCAGAATGTGATTAATTTTAGTTTAGAAGGGAAGCCTTGGCGTAACGGGTAAAGTTGCTGCCATGTGACCAGGAGTTCACAGATTCGAGCCGTGGAAACAACCTCTTGAAGAAATGCAGGATAAGACTGTGTATAATAAACACTTATGGTCTGATACTTCTCCGGACCCCACACATAGTGGGAGTTTAGTGCACCGGCCTGCCCTTTTTATTAAACTATGTCATGGTTGTGCTAATTGTTGCTATTTAGCTGTCATGTTTTTCAAAAATAATTGCTTCAAAATACTTGCCATTTTAGAAAATTAAGAGAGAACTACAAGGACAACAACCCAGTAAATTCCATAGAAAAATCAAGAGAGAACTAATTATTAATATTTTCACCTTTATCCGTACTCTAATGAATGTGAGGAGAGACTAATGTGGTGAAAGCAAAAGTAGTACTTAACAAATTGAGATATAAATAATGGTAAGTTAGTTAAATTGTCCTTTTAATTAATATTTTTTTAAAGGGTGCGTAAAAGGCAAACATGACAAGTAAAAGGGAACATAAGGAGTAAACTTCTACTTCGGGGCGGAGCTAGAGTGCCGGAAGCGGGTGCGGTCAAACCCAGTAGCTTTAGTTCGAACCATATATTTGTCTTAAAAAATTCTTTGAATATATATAAATTATTAATTGAAAACCCTGTAACTTAAAATGATTCGAATCTTAAACTCATAAACTTGAAATTCTAGCTCCGTCTCTGCTTCTACTTGTGTAGATTATTTAGTGCAAATCCATGGATGGGGAAATAAGTAAAGACTGCCAGATCATGATTATAGAGTGAAGATGTACACAATTTTATTCATTTCATTGTAGAAAGATTAAATGAAATGTTATTCCACAGAAAAAGCCTAAATCTTGGACTTTTGTTGAAAAAGAGTGTGAACAAGGAACACCTAGTTATAGGCAGTTTATTAGGATGTTATTTTTATTATAAGAGCACAGCACTAAACTGGAAACTGGACATTTGGGAAGGTTCAAAGGAGCTGAATTTTCATATCTTTCTGTCTAGCCTAAATTCATGTATTTGCTGTGCCTTTCGTGGAAGTAAGAGGTTTGGGATCAACACTTAGCTGGTGCCCCTATAGTTTTTGCTTTTGGAAATTCTAGCTTAACTCAAAAGCTGCAGTGTAAATGCAAAACCTTTTGCCAACAGCTTCAGTTTGTTTGTTTCAGATTTTACCTTTTTGTAGGTTGAGATTATAGTATGTGCAATTAATGTATGCAATAAACTTATGGTAGTTTGTATTCTATTATTGGTAAATCTCTGTTACTACATGTTGAATATTCTGTTTGTTTTCGTATTATCTTGTTGTTGTTACGGTTTATTGCTACTGCTTTCTTTTCTTCTTTCCTTGAGCCGGGGGTCTATCAGAAACAACCTCTCTAAACTCAAGATAGGGGTAAGGTCTGCGTACACTACCTCCCCAGACCCCACTTGTGGGATTATACTGGGTTTTTTGTTGTTTTCTTGTTTTTGTTGTGTTGTTAGTTCTGATTTTATGATAGTTTTTGTATGTCCTAGCTTATGCATGCAATAAACTTGTGATAGTTTATTTGTTTCAGTTCTGATCATTTTTGAGATTGATATTATAGTTTGTCCAGTTTATGCATGCAACTTATGATTGTTTGTTTGTATCAGTTCTGATCCTTTTTGAGATTGATATTATAGTTATTCCAGTTTATGAATGCAATAAACTTATGAATTAGATCATGTTTTGATGCTGGAATTATCTCTTATTTGCAACCAGGTGATTTAGTAGATCTAGTTGTGGAGTGAGGAAATGGAAACAGTACACGAAGCACTAGAGGAGGCCAAACTTGAAATTGAAAAGCTCAGGGAAAACTACCAAAGTAAAGTTGAGTTCTGCGACAACTTGAAACGAGCCCACAACGAGCTGGTAACCAAGAATCAGGAGGCAAATTTGAAAGTAGAGAAGCTCACTCATGAATTGACTGGGAAAGAAGATGAACTTGCTGTCACGAAACAACTGTACGAAGCAATTGAGACGAAATTAAAAGATAAGGAGACTGCTGTCAAGCATCTAAGCTCTACAAATGATAAGCTTTGTGCTGACTATGCTGAGATGCTTCGGAAATGTGAAGAGGAGAATAAAGGGTTGGCATTGGCTTTAGATGGTGCCAATGCAACCAATACGGATTTGGAGCATCAGATTCATTCTCTCAAACAAGAGATTGAGGGGCTAAGGGAAGTTGCATCGGCTTCACAGAAGAAAAAGTCGTCGGAAGCTGAGAAGAGAGCCAAAGACTCCAAAGAGCCGAGAAACAATAACGACATGCTACTGGATATGGAGGAGGAAAACAGGAAGCTCGCGGATCAACTAAAATGGAGGAAGGAACAGTTCATGAATCTGGAGGAGGCTCATGGCAAGCTCAGGCAACAACTTCAAAAATGTGAAGAAGAGAATAAAGGGCTGGCATTGGCTTTAGATGGTGCTAACTCAAATAATATGGATCAGGAGCAACAGATTCGTTCTCTCAAAAAAGAAGTTGAAGGGCTAAGGGAATTTGCATCGGCTTCACAGAAAAAGTCCTCGGAAGCTGAGAAGAGAGCCAAAGGATGCAAAGAGCCGAGACGCAATGATGATATGCTACTTGATATGGAGGAGGAAAACAGGAAGCTCACCGATCAACTAAAATGGAAGAAGGAACAGTTCAGTCATCTGGAGGAGGCTCACGGCAAGCTCAGGCAACAACTTCGATTATATGAAGAAGATAATAGAGGGCTGGCATTGGCTTTAGATGGTGCAAATGCAACTAATTTGGATCAAGAGCAACAAATTCGTTCTCTCAAACAAGAGATTGAGGGGCTAAGGGATCTTTTATCATCTTCACAGAAGAAGTCGTCTGAAGCTGAGAACAGAGCGAACACATCCAAAGAGCTGAGACACCATGGTAATGTGCTACTTGAGATGGAGGAGGAAAACAAGAAGCTCACCGATCAACTTAAATGGAAGAAAGAACAGTTCAGTCATTTGGAGGAGGCTCATGGAAAACTCAGGCAACAACATCGAGAGGAGGAGAAAGAATGGGTAAAGGAGAGATGCACATTGCTAGATGAGATTTCTAAGCTGCAGTTGAATTTAGATTCTCAGCTTAGAATATCGAAAGATCTTGAAAGCCGGTTGTGGATGTGCAATCAGGCTTTAGCTCATGAAGAAAGCAGGAGAAAGCTACTGGAAGTTCAACTTGCCGAGTCTAAAACATCCTTTGACAGTGTCTGTGCAGAGTATGAGGAATCAAAGTCTACAATTGAGAGCTTGACAAGTCAGAGGGACAAAGAAATCGCGAATCTAAGAGACATATTGGGCACAAGGGATACACTTCACAAGGAAATGGAGTACCAATTCAGGAGGCTAGAGCAAGAAAATCATGAACTGATGATATCCCTTAAAGAATTCCAGGAAGCGAAAATTCAAGAAGCTGGAGCTTCTTCTTCTTCCTTGTCAAAACTCCGAAACAAGCTCAAAGGCGTGGAGCAGGTGCACAAGGACTGTTTGAGTAATCTCAAAACCAAAGAAGCTGAATGGGCTTCTAAATTGGAGCAACTTACGTGGGAGCTCGATTGCTGCAATTCTTCATTACAGAGCAAAGACACATTAATAACTGAACTTCAAGAGGAGTTGGAGACATGTGAATCACTGACACTGCAGTTAACACTACAGAATGAGGAGACTTCGATGATGCTGTTAGTGTTAAAATCTCAGTTTTTGGAGCTCCATCAAAGAGTTGCTGGTGATTATGCTTCAATGGAACTGGAAAAGAGAGAAGGAGTTGAGAATATCTCTACTCTAATCACGCAGTTGAATACAAAGAATGAAGCTCTTGTTAGAGTTCAGAAAGATCTTGAAAAGGAGCGTGAAAAGGTAGCACTGCTATCAGAAAAGGTCGAGTCGTTGAACTCTGAAGAACAACAACAGCAGCTTCCTTTACAAAGAGAGGTTGATACACTGAAGAAAATGCTGAAAGAAGCATCGGCTTCTCAACATCATCTAAAGGAGCAGGTATTGCATACAAAGAGTGACTTGAAACAAGTTCGCGATGCCTTGGATAGAGCAAATGAAGAACTAGCTGAAAGTTTCAGTGAAGGAAATGAACTGGAATTTGAATTGCAGGTGTGGAAATCTGTTGCTGAAAAGTTGAAAGTCAACCTGGAAGAAAACCAGGTTATGAGGAGACAAGTAGAAGCCTCCCTCCTTGCCCAAGCCGATGTTGAATTTGACCTCAAACTAGAGACAGAAAACCTTGAACTCAAGCTAGCAGAAAAAGATAGAAGAGTGAATGAACTCCAGCTGCAGCTCTTTGACTTGAACGAGGAACTCACGAGAAGGGAACAAAAAACACTGCTTAATGTTGAGGACAAGACGATCTCTCAGGATCTTCAGAAGGAGGTGGAGTATTTGGAGCAAGAGTGGGTGAGAAAAGAGCTTGAAGGTGCCATTTTAGCACAAGTGGAAGCAGAAACAAAGCATAAGAACGAGAAAGAGAGCCTCTACCAGCTTGTTGAAGAGAAAGACCGCAGAATATATGATCTTCAGAAGGAGGTGGAGTATTTGGAGCAAGAGTGGGTGAGAAAAGAGCTTGAAGGTGCCATTTTAGCAAAAGTGGAAGCAGAAACAAAGCATAAGAATGAGAAGGAGAGCCTCCACCAGCTTGTTGAAGAGAAAGACCACAGAATATATGATCTCCAGCAGCTTGTTAACTCACTGGAAATTGAGTTTGAAAGTTCAACTAGCTCATTTTCAGTCAGACTCTCAGAGATGCAAGCAGAGGTTGATATGTTTCATAAAACTTGGGAGAAGATGAGAACAGCTGAGATTCTGAAGGAGATCGAAATACAGATGGGGAACTTGGTGATTGCTGAGTTGGAAAATGATTTGTCCGATTCTGTTGGAGAAAGGACAGAACTTGAACCTAAGCTAGAAGCGAAAAGATCAGAGATAGATATGTTGCAGCTTAGACTTGAAAAACAAATAAGAAGTTCAGATATTGTGATCAAGAAACTTCATGGAGAAAAGGCGAAGCTTCTTGACGATGTCAATAAATTGTCATCAGACAAGGACAAGTTGCTTGATACTTTCATGGGATTATCAGAAAGAATCGACCTTATATCTAAGGAAGATATGCAGTTAAGTGTGAGTTTGGAAAGGATGGTACAAAACTGTGACAACAGCAGTATGTTGGAAACAGACTTGAAATGGGATAATGAATTTGATCCTGTTAAAGAGAATAAAAATAGACGACAACCTTCCACTCCAACCAAGAGATTAGAAGCTATTATTGATGATAGATCGCCGTTGAGATCTCTCAACAATTAGCTTGTGTAATTCAGAATAGGGAAGAGAAGTTATTTTTGTATAGCTTCTTGACAAATGTAGTTTTTAGTGATCCTTGTTATTTACTTATTTAAGAAACCAAGGAAAACTGTCATTTACCTCTGCATTTTGACTTCTAATCGTCCATTCTCTTTATCTTTCAGCACCAACCAAGCATAAAAAAGAAAAAAATTACCTCATCAAATATCATTTTCAAAAAGTAAGTATAATAATAAAATGAAGAACCAAGATGTGACTTCTTTTCTCTATGAGCAAATATTTGGTACTCTCAGTCATTATCCGCATTCCACATTCTGATAGGAACTGCTACTCAAATATTGAAGAACATTAAAATTCTTAGGATTATCAGTTTAAAATTACCAAAGTAGGAGTTGTAAACATAAGTAACCATGATCAAGAAGAATACCAATTCTCAAAGTATGACGTACGTCCTGCCAATCTAGTAAAAGTTTCTTGGGTTGATTGTGCAAATTTCACATCAACAAGTTGTAAAAATATTCTCATTTTATGCTTTTACATTGTGCATTCCTAGCACGAGTAGAGTGGTTATTTTGAAAATTGTATGTCAGCAACAAACAACATCAAATTTCAACAAATTAGTAGGATCGCCCTGATTTCTAAAGAGCAAAACTGCCTAGTGATTCATGGATTGTCAGGTTAGTAAACGAGTGAAAAATATCTTATATAAGTAAAAAATAATCTATTTTATCATTGCGGCACTAAAAATAATTCCATTTTATTTAACAGATCAAATTGTCATCCTATAATTTCGTTTTTTTTTTTGGTCAAGAAGTGTCATCCTATAATTGACCTTGGTGTTTTCTCAGCACCTCAACCTCAAATTCCCCTAATTGGTACCCAGTACCCACCATTGGAATAATGGAATATTATTTCCAATGTGCCACGTGGCCTCAATTAAATGTATTTTTTCTTTGTGGGACCTACTTTTGTAAAAACCATATATCGCTCCATCAACTTTTCTGTTTCATAGCTTTTTTTTTCCAAATAACAATACTCTGCTATTTTCTTGTTCTTGCAACCCCTTATAATACGACGCTGTTTTGCCGCGTCCAAATTCTATTTTTAGGTTTTTCCCCATCTCTATTCCACCAATTAAGAGTCTGAATTTCGCAAGGTTAGTATCATCATCTTCAAAGTTGATAATTTATTTATTTATTTATTTTGCTTTTGAAAGTTGGGGTTTCTGCTCAAATTTGCTTCAAATGACATTAGGCTAGAAATTTGAAGAGACCCAGTTAAAAAGATTTGATTTTTCATTCAAATTCAACTTTTTTCTTTTCTTTTATTTATTTTTCCTTTTCAAAGTTGGCTTTTTTGCTCAACTTTGGCATAAAAAATTCAATCCTGCTATAACTTTTTAGTTTATTGGAAATGCCATTAGGCTAGAAATTTGAAGAGACCCAGTTAAAAAGATTTGATTTTTCATTCAAATTCAACTTTTTTCTTTTCTTTTATTTATTTTTCCTTTTCAAAGTTGGCTTTTTTGCTCAACTTTGGCATAAAAAATTCAATCCTGCTATAACTTTTTAGTTTATTGGAAATGCCATTAGGCTAGAAATTTGAATTCTGTGAGAAAAGAAAACTACCCAGTTAAAAAGATTTGATTTTTCGTTCAAATTCAACTTTTGTTTTATTTAATCTTTATTCCTTTTGAAAGTTGGTTTTTTGCTCAATTTTACTTCAAAAAATCAATCTGGCTATAACTTTTCAATTTTTACTAGAAACTCCTTTAGGTTAGAATTTTCTATCCTGTTAAAGAGAAAAAAACCAGTTAGAAAGATTTGATTTTTCATTAAAATTCAACTTCCAAAGGCACATTAGTGATTCAATTTCAATTCTGTGTTCATAAAAACCCGAAAAACCGAACCAAAACGAAAACCAAACCAAACCGACCAAAAAAAACCGGTACTTTTTGGTTTGGTTTGGTTTTGGTTTTGAATTTTAAAAATCGATCAAATTTGGTTTGATTTTGGTCTTAATTAAAAAATAACCGAAAAAACCGAACCAAACCGACTATAGGAGTAGCTATTTTAAATTTATTATTACACCTATTTATATGTATATTTTTATACAAAGTTTCAAAAATTTTAAGGTGAATGTTAATCGTTTGCACTTTTAGGATAGTTCTTACCTTTATATTCTAGTTTGATTGGTAGTTTTCTTTTGTTAAGTGTAAGAATCCATTTCATGTTAAAAAAATATAATTTTAATTGAGTCCTTAAATTATTCATCACTATTTGATTCGATTATCATCAATATATTTTAGTAAATAACAGATTTCTCAAAGGGCAATTGATTTGATAGTGTTACGTTGAAAATGTGGTAGCCGGAATATGTGTTTGGTAGTGTATGTCTTATGTTTAAGAAAAAACCGACAAATAACAGAAAAAACCGACAAAACCCGACATAAACCGAATCGAGAAAAAAACGACTTAATTGGTTTGGTTTGGTTCTAATATTTGAAAAACTGACTTACTTGGTTTGGTTTCTGGAAAAACCGATCGAAACCGAACCACGAACACCCCTACTGATGATGTTTTCAATTCTGGGTTTTGCAGATTTTTCCAAGAGAAGTAGAGGTTGTGGGGGAATCATCAATTTTGATATACTTATTTTGCTGTTAGAAAGACTCTTGATGAATGTGGAGTAACCTATTTATCTTATATGCTGCCATTGATAGTTAATTGTCTGCTTAGGTTTGTCCAATAATGGCTGCTGCTGGTTCTTTGCAATTGTCTCATTATTTAGGGACTTGCAAGAACCATGAGCGCCTTAAGAAATATTCACCTGTACAGGTACCTTCCCGACTTGCTTATGTTTTTTTTTCCCGCATCACTAATTCTTTTTACCATATCATTTGAATTAGTCGGACTTACTTCCTTATAGAATACAATAGGAAGGAGCAGTTGGCGTTCTTGCTGCACGAGTTTGTCATCTTTATCATCGGTAAGGACTTTTGATTGCACATGGATGACTTCTTTGGATAACAGAAAGATTGGTGTAAATTGTGTTTAACTTCCTTCTCCCTCTCTCTTCCCTTGCCCGTACTGTTCTTACTGAGGATTGCGTTGGAAACACTGCCTTATTTATCTCATTTTATAGAAACTCTTTGTCGCTTTGCCTTCATTATCCTGGTTAAAAGAAAGAAAGGAAAACTCCAAGAGAAAAACGAGGTGGCAATCTTGTAAACATGTAAAAGAATTAGTTCTATGGGTATTATTTCGTTGGATAGTGTAATCTATGCAAATAATGTGCTTATGCTTTTTCCTTGTTGATATCTTCTCTGTTATTCTGTCGTGGTAACATGCTTGAATAAAGAGGATCAGGGGTTCTGAAATTTAATCTAAACTCGCTAAGTTTTCTGTTTTATTACATCTTCAGCGGCAGGACTCTTGGAGTATCCATCACGTAAGAGGATTGCAAGTGAAGAAACATGTGCTCCCATATAGAAGCCATTCGTTCAAGTGTAATTCTTTCCTAAAACCAGAGCAAGCTTTTGACATTTCTTCTGTAAAGAATGCTGCTATTATACTGAAAAGGTAATCCTCGTTTGTATTCAATCATGCAAGATTATGCATATATCATTTTCTATATGTACCTGCATAAATACAGATTTGTGTTAAGATGAAAAAATGAAATTTAAGATTAGATGAGGATAGTTTGAAGAACGTTGAATTAGAAGGAGGATTGCTATATGCTATATTAAGTTAAAGAAGCACGTACATCATGTGGCGGAACCCTTTACTTTTTCTGGATATAATCATATTGAAGTTGAGTTTTGGTGTGTTATAATGGTTTTCAAACTATTGTAAATAGGATGAGGTCCGCCTGCTGATTTTGAGGAGAAAGCAATAGTGTCTTTATGCACAATTTCAACTCATATGAGCATGTGCTTTAGTAGCAGCAGCCAGATTTCACCCTGTTTACTTGTTTAACATAGCTTATATTGTTTCCTCTTAAAATCTTAATTAAGAAGCTTATTGTTGATACATGCAGGTCATACAATAGCTTACAAGGCAGCCCACTTATGCTTAAGTTGCTTCCAGCAATTGGAATCCTTGCTTTTGCAATTTGGGGTCTTGCGCCGCTACTGCGTCAAAGTAGAAACATACTCCTCCATGTATGAGTATGTTTTAGTTCTGTTTCTTTCTATGTATCCCTCTTTGGCTTTTTCGGTTTGACAATATTGTCTGATTACGCTGCAGAAGAGCGATAACAGCTGGGGAAAGAGTGGTACATATCATGTAACGACCTTTTATCTTCAACCTTTGCTGTTGTGGACTGGGGCAATGCTTGTCTGCAGGTTAGGTCATTCAATGCAAGCATGTATCTTTCCCTCCCGTTGACTGATATACTTCTTGATGGCAAGCTGATGCATGAAATATATTTCTTACAGAGCATTGGAACCCATGGTGCTACCCACAGAAGCTAGTCAAATTGTTAAACAACGACTTCTGAATTTTATAAAATCTTTGTCTACTGTGCTAGCCTTTGCATATTGTTTGTCCAGGTAAGTGTGGTTTCTGAAGATCTTAAAAGAATCCCTTTGTAGCCAATCATCTATCTATTACTAATATTTATGAATTATGGGTGAACAATGGGAATCGAACAAGCATAGTGTTGATAAAGCTCCAAAATGGCATTTTCTTTGACCCAAATTTTTTCTCTTCTAATCACTCAGAAAAAATCGGAAGATATTATCATTTGATAGAAGTACGTCTTGTTCATTAACATATCGGAAATATTCCGCCATAGTTAGGGCAGTCAAACCTATGCTCGAAAATCAAAATATTTTGAACTTATGGTTCCAAGTGTATCTTGTCTTTAATACGACTTATTTTTAAATAAAACTTCTTCAACCTACTAATCTTGTACAAAATTTGATGATGAGATATGAAAACATAAAATTAAAAAAATTAGAGCAGAAGACATTTTGTGAGACTTTATAAAGAAATCATGAGTGTACTAAAATCTGTGAGGTAATGCTAAGGTTTCTAGTGATTTTTGTGTTAATGTTGTCTACTTGGACTGTCATATTGCAATTGGTTAAACAGTTGTCCATATGTTGGCTTGTGTCTTGTGCTTCCATTTTCTACTCCCTTCTAGTTAGATGACTGCATTAACTTGCAGCGAGATCAAGTGAAGAAAGTTTTGGAATATACATTATATAGATATACAGTATATCGGAAACGATAAGATGTGTGTTTAAAAAGAGGGATACTTTGCTAAATTGTGACTCAAGACTAGCATGAGATAAAGTAGCAGTATTCTGTATTTGTTTAATATCTTAGATATGGAGAGCTAGGACAGAAACTGGAACAGATTAGAGAGCAAAAAGCCTCTTACATTGCTGTAGGAGCATTTCTTAAGCTTTCTTGTACTATTTTGTTACTAAACTGGATGTTAGTTATTTTACAATAATCACGAATTTGATAATACCATTTTGGTAAAGCTGTAATGCTGCTTAATAAGTGCCTTAATATCCAAACTTCGCTCCAATTAAATTCTCTATTTAATACATGTAACTGTATTGACTATACTACAGCACTTGGGATCAGCGGATCACCTGCTTTAATGTCTTTTTTCTGTATGAGATTGGAAATATGTTAGCACGCAGAGGTCATTTGGTTCGAAGACAAGTTATACGGGGATTGTAATGCAGGGATTAGTTATGTAGGGATTAATAATACGTGGATTGCTTCTTGTTGGGTGTTGGGTTTATTGCACTAAATTGGATATACAAGCTATCATTTAAAATATTTGTTTATTTTTTAAATTAAAAAGCAATAAGTTTACAATTATACCCTTGGATGCTTGACCTTCATTGGCTTGTAGGAAAAAGACAAGGGTAGTTTCGTCCTTTTGGTGCTTTATCCATATATAAGGTATACATGGATAAGTTATTCCATGTTGTTGGTGGTATATGGTGCATTAAGTTATGCATGATTCAAATTACAAACCAAACAATGGAGAAACTTATACCAAATTATATACCATGATTATTTTCCTTATACATCACCCTTCAGTGTTCTCTGTTCTCCTGCAGTTAAAATTTATTTATACCAGTGTAATTTTTTGCTTCACTAATAGCTGTTTGTTGTATCTTCTTAAGAGTAAGCCTTGAATGATTGAATGCAGTGTTATTCAACAAGCACAGAAGTTATTCATGGAGACAAGTGATGCAAATGATACTAGAAATGTAAGCACCTATTGGATTTGTTAGTGTCATTTAATATTTTGTTTACTTTTGATGAAAGTAATTATTGTTAGTCTCAATTGGTATACATTGTACATATAAGGGTCTCTTGCTTCTTGGCAGATGGGCTTCCAATTTGCTGGTAGAGCTGTGTATACTGCAGTCTGGGTCGCAGCTGCGTCATTGTTCATGGAGTTGCTAGGTTTCTCTACACAGAAATGGTTAACTGCGGGAGGACTTGGTACTGTCTTGCTGACACTTGCTGGACGTGAGGTCTGTTTCTCGGTTTATCTTGCTGTAACCAATATTCAAGCTCATCTTCGTCTAGGCATGGAAAATGCAGTTTATAGTTTATAGCTCTTGTTCGACTTTGATCAAGATGGTGATGCAATAACTCTTCTGATTTTGTTGTTATCAGATATTCACGAATTTTCTTTCAAGCATCATGATCCATGCCACACGTCCATTTGTCCTTAATGAATGGATTCAAACCAAGATTGAAGGCTATGAAGTTTCTGGCACAGTTGAGGTATGAACTTGCTCTTGAGGGACAACCCTGCTTTTAATGTTTGAGATCAGAAGAATGAATGAGCTTTTTCCTCTAGCATTCTCTATTAACTTTACCACGATTCATACAAATTTCTATATCTGTTTTTCGCAGCATGTGGGCTGGTGGTCCCCCACAATCATAAGAGGCGAGGATCGAGAAGCTGTTCACATTCCAAACCACAAGTTTACGGTTAATGTTGTCAGAAATCTGACTCAGAAAACTCATTGGCGTATTAAAACTCACCTAGCCATCAGTCATTTGGATGTCAGTAAGATAAATGTGAGCATTACTTCATTCTCGTCTCCAACATAATACAGCGAAATAAGTTACACTATTGATGTTTGATTTCAATGCTATCATGACTTTTTTTTTCCTGTAGAATATTGTAGCTGACATGCGCAAAGTTTTGGCGAAGAATCCCCAAGTTGAGCAACAGAGGTTGCACAGAAGAGTATTCCTGGAGAACGTCAACCCTGAAAATCAAGCCCTGTTGGTTAGTGTCAATATTTGAGCATTAATATGTTGTGACTTTTGGATGGATTGTCGTTAATTCGTTATCAGTGCAAATGCTGCTTTAACTACATGTTTTTCTGACCAGTTTGTTTTGGAAATTATCTTGGGTGCTAAATTCTTATCTCTCGGATGTAAGAGTACCCGCCTCAGGTCTGCTTCCAAATTTACTTGATTTAGAGTAAATTTGGTTTTCCATAAACCGTGGCTGCTGCTTTGGTTCTTTTCCGATACAAGGGACTAGAATTGTATCTTGATTGAAGTTGGTAGACTGTTTTGGCAATGAAGTAGGGCTGTTTATCCTTCCAAACTAAACGATTCTATTGCAGCTGCCAAATAGGATACTTAGAAAGTAAGCAAAATGTGTAAACTCAAGGCACACTAATTTATGCCAACTTACTGAAGACATGCTTTATCGGTATCAGTGAGACCATTCTATAAGTGCACCATACCTCAAGACCAGTTTACCTTTAGTGTGTGAATATTATCAAATTGATGGCCTTTCCATTTGCTAAAAGCAAAAAACCATTTATAGCATTGAGACCTTAAGATCATGGTCCAGTTGAAACTAGTCACCCTGCTTGCCTGCTTTCTATCAGCTATCACTTGGAGTTATGGCTGACCCATCCATTTAGCGTACGGCACCAATTGTTGTTTGCTGTGTGCGTGTGTGTTTACATCGGTTAGGTAAGTGAGAGACTCAGAACACTCAAGGACAGGGCATTTATGCTGTTCGAGATGTTCTCTGTCTCGGTCTGTCTCTCTCTCACGAAATGTTGCTTGACATTCTTGAAATGTTATTCAGTTGGTGGTTCTTTTTCACTCTTAAATATCTGCTTCATTTTTTGCTGCAGATCTTGATATCCTGCTTTGTCAAGACGTCACACTTCGAAGAATACTTGTGTGTCAAGGTGAGGGAAGATCCTGCTACAACTTACTTTTTTTAAGGAATCCTCTATGCAAGAATTTCTATAATCCAGAGTATTTTGTAAAACTGTAAATGATCCATCCTCAGTTTGAAGCCACTGCTTTCTGTAACTTTAGTATTTAAACAGTAAACTGATCCATCCGCAACCCTCCCATGCCCCGCTCCCAAAAAAAACAAGTAATTGATGAGATGAAAGTTGGCACCTACTTGTTAAATGGTCATTTAATTTCAGGAAAGATGCTTCTTTATTGCCAGTCGGTTTTGTTTGGAAATTTGCTCATTTAGATTTGACTTTTCTTTTTTCTTGGATGATTTTAGGAAGCTATTTTGTTAGATCTTCTCAGAGTCATTCGACATCACCGAGCTCGGCTTGCCACTCCCATCCGTACGGTTCAGAAAATATATAGTGATGCTGACTTGGAAAACATACCATATGATTCTGCATTCAACCGTGGAGCAGCATCAACTCGTCCATTGCTACTGATTGAGCCATCTTATAAGATCAACGGGGAAGATCGCACTAAAGGTCGACCAATTCGTGTGAATGGTGAAGAAGACACCAAGGAAAAGGCTACCACGAAATCGGCACCTGATAGCAAGGTTGAGACGAAGAGCGGACCTGCATCTGATTCTAAAGTCAAAGAAACAGTTCCAGCTAACTCTCATGGTAAAGATGTGCCAATTTCTGAATTGAAACTTGATCCCAAAGTTGACAAAGTGGCACATACTGAAACCAAAGATGACATTAAAACACCGTCTGATCCAAAATCGAGTAAGGTGACAGTGAAAGCCACCTCAAAACCTATCTCCAAAGCTGATTCAAAGTCTGCAGAAGCACCAACTATTGATTCCAAAGATCTCTCAGAGAACAGCTATAGCAACAAGCAAGATAAGAGAAATACAGTTGATAATTCTGCAGTTTCTCCATCATCAGATGTAAGAGAGAAAACAGTCGGTGTCTCATCTACTTCACAATCTAAACGAGAGGATGAAAGGACAGCAGCTCCACAACCATCTGTATCATCAAAACCTGCATTGGAAGAGAACATTGTTCTTGGTGTTGCTCTGGAGGGTTCGAAGAGAACTCTTCCAATTGAAGAAGAGATGTCGCCGCCACCAAATCCAACGGAGTCCAAGGAATTGGCTACTAGCCGTAGTAGTAGTAGTAATGCTTCTACCGTTGCAGAGAAAGATAAACAAGATGGTCAGCGTTCAAATCGCCCTAATTCTGCAGCTCCCGATCAGTCAGGCAAAAGGCCCTCTACTGGCAATTGACCCTGCCTATGTTTTCACTAACCGTGTGAAACTAATTCTTAGTCATCACTACCAGATTTGATGTTTAAGGTACATTGAGATAGTTGTCTTGATGTCCATGTTGGTGAAGTATTTAGCCGATCACTCCAGTATAAAAATGGAGAAATTATAGGGCTTAATCATGTTAGTTTAGTGGTTGTGGATGTATGTATTATATTTATTAGTATGTTTCCAATTTGACCGCAGTAGCAAAATATTTGGTTATTGACCAGCTCGAGCAACTTCTATAGGAGCTGTCATTTCTCATTTATGTTGGTTAGCAGCACAGGAGTTGTCATTTCTCATTTATGTTGGTTAGCAGCACATAGGTGTATGGTCTGCGTACACACTACTTTTCCGAAACCTCACTTGTCTAAACTCACTGTTTTTTTTTTTTTGTTGTTGCTGGTTAACGAAATACACATTCCTGCATTCCTGTGATGTATCTCTAACCAAAAATCCTTCAACATTGGTATGCATAATTTTTGTGCACAATCTGTGTTTCACACCTAACCAAGAGTTTTTAATATGGATATTTATTGTCCAGGATTTGAGTATCAACTCTGTGAGGCGTGGATTTGATTTAGTCTGGATAGTAAGTTTTAGATGCCGAATCCCCCTGTTATGCGCAGGGTACGGCGAAGGACCGAACCACAAGAGTCTATTATACGCAGCCTTACTTTACATTTCTGCAAGAGGCTATTTCCACAGCTCGAACCCGTGTCACATGGCTGCAACTTTACCGGATCATTTGGAAAAATAGAACCTCTTCTTGCATTTACTCAGAGAATTTATTTACACACCTCTGAAAAGAAACAATTGCAGTGTTCTGTCAAGACTAGCCCTCAAAATGGAAACTTAAGCAGGACATTAAATCAATCAAAGAAAAATACAATACACTGGCTGCATTTGATAATTATCAACCTCTACATACCAAAATGAAACACCATTTTAAATAGTCTACAGAACTGACATACATGGTAAAATATGTTTAGACTAGAATACTACTATCTGTATATGCACTCTTCATAGGAGTAATACATATATTGTACACATATTCCACCCCTATAGTAAAACTCACGTGGTAACACATAAATACTCCTATAAGTAAACAAAGGGGTGGCATCTTATTTAACTATTATATAGGCATAATAAACAATAATTTGAGGTCCAAACAATACAGATCTATATGGTACTCAGTAGTAACTATCAAGCTTGGCACATGCAATCAGGAGCAGGATATGTATAAAGGGATTGCTTTGGTTTGCGAAGTCTAATTTGCCCTTGTCTGTTCTTGTGGCCTTCAACTACTGATTCTTGAAACTCAGGCCAAGTCAGTGTCTTATTCAGGAATAGCTGGCCTAATAATGCCATGTTTGGCCTTATTGTCTTCATATTGTTGTATGTTCTGTGTCCCACCTGTCATTTCAATGTGTATTCATTAGCTGTGGACCACATGGGATACAAAAATACATAAAGAAAACATAAAATTTTGTGAATAGAAACAAAATTTGGGTTTGATTGGGAGAGAATACAACCTATATGCCATGTTTGACTGGACACGAGGTATAAGGGGAAAAGGGACTTTTTGCACATACCAAAAGTACCCTAAGAAATTGTGGTTTTATAGGTTCTCTGATTGTAGGAGTAGATCCGTAACAGTAAAATGAGAAGTTTAAAGTTAACTTGTTTCCAAAAAACAGAATAGACTAAAAAGAAGAGAGAATGATATCAAATGTAACACAGGGAGTAGTAATTTCTGGTTTACCAAATAGATTCTTCATCAGCAGCTACTTCTAGTATGGTAGTCTGTTGCCTTAGATTGCTAGTATTCCATGATGTTTTCCTATTTTCTCCCGCTTCGGTCTCTAGCACCTTGTTGTTGTTACTTCTTATTGTTGCTACCGCTTCTTTCCATTTAATTTTTTGGCTTTGAGATTGTTATTATTATATTTCTGGCCCATTTGTTGATACTACTTGTTTCTACTGTTTCTTTTATCTTTTTTGAGCTGAGGGTCTACCAGAAACAACATCTCTACCTTCCCAAGGTAGGGCTAAGGCCTGCGTACACACAACCCTCCCCCCACTTATGGCATTCCACTAGGTTGTTTTTGTTTTTGTTATCAGCTACTTCTAATCAAACATGTTAATATTTGGGACACTAACTTAAAGGTAATCTAGAGCTTTAAAAGATGAAGTTTGTTAACTAAAGAACCACCTTTTTAGTGGCACAGTATATTCACCTATCCCTTACATTTTATGAAATAGATTCCTGAAGTGCAGTACAGCAGCGAAACTGAAACTAGAAGATGAAAAGTTTAAGTGCTTACCATCGCGTTGTGCATATTTCCAGGGGAGGCAGAGACAAATATATCACTGTGCATGCCAACATAATAATCAACTGCAGCCAATAAGGAAGCCTTTCCTTTGATAAGAGCTCTTTCCTCAGAAGATGCAAGGCTCTTTTTGTCTTCCATCAGGGGAAACAAATTTCTCAAGGCCGAAATACGGCGCTCCCCGCCATAAACCTAGAAAAAACATGAACAAAGAAAAGCTTCAGAACACAAAAGATATTGGCTTTTCTTCAAGTATTTTAGCACCTTAACGAAAGGCAGTATATTCTATAAATGCTTTCAGTGTTCACCTTATGGGAGGCAAGATATAGGCGAGTGCTGTTGTCGAATCCCAAAGCTGCCAGCAGCAATCCAACTTCTTCGGGGGTCAATGGGCACCGTCCTTGACTCCTTAACTCTTCATCAGTAAACTGAGAGTTGATGACCCTTCCTCCCCAAATTACTTGCCGGTATTTAGCTAGAGCCAAATTTTCAGCCTTGCCACCACCAAAATCACAAGCTGAATGAGCTGCCATATCCTGGAGAGATTACAAGTCAAATTTTAAATACCACATTTTAAGTAGAGATAAAATTGCCCAAGTACAAAATACAGAAAAAGAGAGTACCGAGAGAAAAAATTCATCAATAAATAAGTAGAGTATATATTGCCATTAACAGGCATAAAGGGAAAACCAATCTTTCAGGAAACTGGAAGTACTGATATTAAATCGGGAGATATTGCAGCATAGCTAGAAGTGCAATATTCCACTAGAATTCAGATAACAGTACAACGGAAGGCACTTTACCTTGTCGAAGCGAAGGTGGAGAACAGCAAACTTGCCTGCTCCTTGTTTGGGCTTAAGATCGGTAACTTCTCTGAGGTAGTTGTTACTAACCATGTTGCCTTCACTAGGAGGATTCCTGAGGCGATTGATAAGGGCATCCCCGAGATGTCTGACATGAGGAACAAAGGCCAATGCTTGAAAGTTGACTTTACATCGTAGGTGTTGGAGGTATTTGGGCATGTTGTCGAACGTCAGGCGATGAGAAAATGGCGCTATAGCAGCAATTCCGTAACTGATATATATAAAAATAATATACTAAGAATTAATATAGGCCACATGACTACCATACAACTAGACGAAAATAGAAATCGATCCTGTAACTAACCTTTGTAGGACAGGTGAAACATTCTCTAAGTACCAATTTGCTGAAGCATGAACCGGAGCAGTCTTGATTCTTGTAGGTCGAATAGCTGTGCCATAATATTCTCGTGTGCTCCAAGAGAATTCATCAGGCAACTCTTTGACTATAGATACATCGTCTTTCAATACATTGATGAAGTGATCCACATCAAAGATATCCATGAATGAGCTGTAGGAAAGAGGAAGATAAGTTTGTATATACTTAAAAGTTGAAACTAAACCAATATTAGCAATATAAAAAAATACCTTGAATCTTGCCAAACAGGATTTACTTCCAACTGAGGGATCACAAGTGTGGCATTCAGAATTTTGGCAACGACAACTGCATCGCAAATCTTTTCCAAGAAATATAGATGTCAGTAATGAAGGGTCAAATTCGATAACAGATGGAGTAAATCATTAAAGGAACTATCAACAAAGGAAATACGATACGCACCCCCATTCTCTGTTGATTTAGTCCTCCATCAAGGAACACTTGAACGTATCCCTCAGACTTTTCAGGTACTGCTGCAGAGTGCAAGGAACAGTAATTAGATATTAGAAAATTAGATAGCAAGATTAAGTTGATGCTCAACTGAGAGATTGCTGAGCAAGAGCCACAAAACTAGATGTAATAAAAGACGGGATCCATAGATACTCACTGGAGGCACCATCAGATTCGGTACAAGGTTTCCATCCTTGGTGCGCCAAAGGCGTCCAAAGCTCTGACTGTTCTTCATTGGACTAAAGACAGAAGAAGAAACCAAGCAAGACACAAAAACTCATTGACAGGAGAACAGAAGTTAATTTAAGAGGAACAAGTGAAATGTGATAAATAAGGTCTTACGCACAGTTTGGCGTAGTAAAGCACTCTTAGCAAGACGTGAGTGCCTGAATTTTGGAGCATTCAAATCCTGCACATGCAAATAAGCTTATACAATCAAATTTCTCTCTAGAGTTTAAGTTAAACTAGATACATTGATCAGTCCAACTTCTTTCGTATTTGCTTAGATATTTATGTTCTCTTAGTTAGCCATGTTAGGTTCTATTCAGAAAAGTTTGCAGACCCAAGTTAGTTACCCCTTTAATCCTTTTATGTCGTGCATAAATTTAAGACCTCAGTCAAGGAAGCAACGGCAGAAACCACGGTATAGCATTTAATCAAGCTTTTTATTATCAAACTACTAACTGAGATTGAAGCCAAAACCATGGATAGAAATAGTTATTATATTGTTCAGTTCATCAGATTACAGGAAGAAATAATGATTATTTCCTTTTCTTTGGGCTAGGATATGCATCTCTACGCGATGTATTTCCCAGAAAATTATGCTTTCTTCTTTTTGAAAGAGAAATATAATCATCTTCCACCAAACAGAATTTATTATTATTATTATAGTTTTGGGAAATAGCAACATCTTCTACTGTGTTGATCTACCAAACAAATAAATTTTATCCGAAAAATCAGATCTTTTCATTGACTAAAGAATTCTTCTATACAGACTGTACAGTCAACAGAATCAAGCTTCCCATTCCTGAAAACCATGCAAGTGGCATGAAGATAGGCTTATACTGAAACAAACCATTAAACAAATGACACTTAACAATTCCAAGTCAACAGATCCAGCTCAATGACTCACCAAACCCTTCCTTAAACACAAATTAGTCAAATACTGCTAGATTTAGAGATTATACCAAAACAATAGTTTTTTTGCCAGTTACTGCTTCACCTTGTGAAAGATCTTGATATCAAAAGATACTACAAAATCAGCAAAATCCACCTAACAA